TGCTGCCAGCTGCTCTGGGCTCAGGTGACGACACCAACAAGCACACGCATCTCTTTCAGTTATGCAGCAGAGACAGCAAGGGCCCTTGGGCTCCCAGCAGCCACACTGGCTCGAGTACTTGACCTCCTGGAACTCCCTGCAATCGCAGTCACGGAATGAAGTCTCTATTGCGCCAATGCCTTGGGTGTCTTGGATGGTTACACCTCAGGCCCTGGGCCCACTGCTGCAGGAAAAGCAGAGGGAGGTTCCAGAACACCTGAGCTTGATGCAGCAGTGGAGAGTCGGCTCAGAGGCTGACCAGGCACTGGAGACTTCCAAGGCTTGGCACAGACTCTCTGCTACTTGTGGAGGAGAGGAGAGATTCTCAGTAGCTACCTCCTCTCTCAGTCATAATCAAGCCATTAGACCCCTTTCCTCCTGCATCCTGTAAACACATGCAGGCTGAAGACTTGACAGTTCCCTGCTTGAAAGCAGGAAAGCACAGGGCATTGAGTCTGACACATAGTAGGTCTTCATTGACAACCGGGTTTATCTTGTCTTTGCTCTTCTTGTTCAATGTCTGTTCCAATTCAGGCAAGGTAGGACACAAACAGGGTTGCTGGAAGCTGGGAGGTGGTGGCACACACCTTTAATCCTGGCACTCGGAAGGCAGAGGCAGGCGGATCCCTCAGTTCAAGGGCAGCTTAATCTAAAGAGCAAGTTACAGGAGAGTCAGGGTTACACAGAGAAACCCTGTCTGGAAAAACAAAACAGCGGCACCTGGAGAATGGAGATGAAACGAGAAGCATTTTTGTCACATTGCAACCTGTCCTCTCTCAGTTTCGGTGGAGATCTCTCTCTTTTTTTGTTTGTTTTTCTTTGTTTTTTTTCTTCAGGGACAGGGTTTTCTCTGGAGCTTTGTAGACCAGGCTGGCCTCAAATTCAGAGATCTTCCTGCCTCTGCCTATGCCTCAGTGGTACTGGGATTAAAGGCATGTGCCACCACGGACCGGCCCTAGATCCTCTTTTTTTTGTTGGTGAATGTGAGACAAGGGCTCCTTTAACCCACACTGGGCCTGAAGTTGCTATGCAAGCATGGATAACCTTGAACTTTTGATCTTTTGTTTTGTTTTTTCAAGCCAGATAAGATTTTCTGTGTATCCTTGGCTGTCCTGGAACTTTGTATACCAGGCTGGCTTCCAACTCACAGCGGTTCCCCTGCCTCTGCCTGCCGAGTGCTGGGATTAAAGGCGTGTGCCACCACACTCCCTCAAATATTTTTGTTTTTCAAGACAGGGTTTCTCTGTGTACTCCTGGCTGTCCTGGAACTCACTCTGTAGACCAGGCTGGCCTCCAACTCACAGAGATCACCTGTCTCTGCCTGCCGAGTGCTAGGATTAAAGGTGAGCCATCACCTGACCATAAATATCCTTGTGGTTACTACAGGTGATGTTGTGTGGCATGGTGTGAGCCTGTTCTCCAATCTTTTGCAGGCACATGAAGAATTTTAAGGAAATCAGTGCAAACGATCGATGAGGAAGTCAGGGTCACCATCAGAACAGCATGAGAGGCACTTGACACTACACATAACACAGTAGCAAAGGTAATGACAACAGCAGAATCAAAATGGAGACACTCAGGTCAACCTAAAAAGACAAAATATTGCTGTAGGTCTCAGAGGGAGTGACCAAATGAGATCAGCCCAATCAACACCGAGGCTGAGGACTTGATTTCAGAGGCAGCAAAGCCTGGGTCACTTAAGCTTGGCTGTGAAGCGGTACATCTATTCTGCAAGACTGTTCACTGTCTCTTCAGTGGGCTGGGGACACAGGCCAGTTGTGCAAATGTGTGCCTGGCTCACAGGAAACCCACGGTGTGAGTCCCAGCACTGGGCATGGTGGCATATGCCTATGATCCTAGCACTCCTTGGCCACACATTGAGTTCAAGGCCATTGTGGTCTACAAGTAGCCTGGCCTCAAAGTATCAGAAACCCAAATCAAATAAAACAAACCACCCCTGGCTGACTGTGACAGCATCTGTCTGTAATCCCAACACTCCAGAGATGAATGGAGGCAAAGATCAGGAGTTCCAAAGTAGCCCCACATCTACAGTGAGTGACTTTTGAGGCCAGCCTGGGCTCCCTGAGACCCTGAATGAAGAACAAAATAGGTGTGGTGCTGTGACATCGACCTGAATTCAAGCCTGGGGAAGGTGGAAGCAGGAGGATCAGGAGTTCAGGATCATCCTAGACTACAGAGAAAGTTCCTGGCTAGCCTGGGCTCCACGAGACACCAACTCAACCAAACCAAGAACGCAACAGCAAAATCCCAAACAAACCCTATCCCAAACCAGACATGGAAGTTGATCCCATTCATTCCACCACTTTGGAGTCTGACACAGGAGAATTATTGAAGCCTTGAAGCCTGCCTGGCAAAACAAAAATAAAACAAAAATCAACAACAACAACAAAACAAAACAAAACCAAAAACAGAAACCCAAGGCCTTTAATCCCAGCACTTGTGAGAAAAAGGCAGGCAGATCTATGTGACTTCAAGGACAGCCTGGTCTACAGAGTGAGTTCCAGGACAGCCAAAGCTACACAGAGAAACCCTGCCTTGAAAGAAAACAAAAATAAGAAGGAAAAAGGAAACACACACACACACACACACACAACTCTGTGTATCACAGCGGCCATGCTTATAAGTCCAGATACTTGGGTGACAGAGGAAGGCTTCCAAGGTCCACCTGGGCTGCATAGTATGGTAATAACCAGCTGAACAACTTACAGAAGACCCGATGTCAATAGAAAAATTGGGCAGCCTCAGGACTTTGTAGGCCTGGGGCCAGCTAAAGTCAGTGATAACTAGAGAGGTTACCAGCAGCCAAAATGTCTCTTATCAGATACACCAGTTGCCAGATCACTGAGGAGGAAGAGGTCCCTGAGTTCTCTGTGAGTTCAAGGCCAGCCTGGTCTCCACAGCCAGTTTCAGGCTAGCCAGGCCTACACATGAGACCTTGTCTCAAAACAACAACAAAGGCAAGGGGCTAACCAAGGGCCCAGGACAGCCCAGGGTCATTTTAACCCTCCACATACGTCTGTCTCACCTCTTCACCATAGCCCATGCTAAGTACTCTGCTGGAACTTGTTGTTGTTGCTGAGACAGGGTCTCCACATGTAGTCCAAGAGAGCTGGAACTCACTCACTATGTTGCCCAGGTTAGCCTCAAGCTTATGGCCTTAAGTGACCCTTCCTCCTCTGCCTTGGAGGGCTGGGCCACATCTCCGAGGGACTTTCAACACAGATACAGCATCTTCAGTTCACAGAGAGCAAGGTCAGGGCTAAGACGGGGCAGGGGAGATGCTCTGAGTATGTACCCTGGATTCGGGGATCAGGGGTGGGGGAGATGCTCTGATTAGGTACCCTGGATTCGGGGATCAGCCTTGCAGCCCAGATACGAAGACTCGTGGGTAGAAAAGGAAGCTGCTGTGGGTGGGCCTGGGTGATTTGAGTTCAGGTGAAGAAATACCTATGTTGGTTTGTTGTGGAATTAAAGCGCTAGGATTAAAGGTGTGCACCACCATGCCTAGATCCAGTTTGGGTTTTGAGACAAAAATCTTCTGTAGCCCAGGCTGGCCTCCAAGCATGATCCTCCGTCTTAGAGTCCCCATTGCTTTGATTTCAGATGCCAGCTACAAATGTGGTTTATCTTCTTTTGATTATATGTTTTTTCGGTTTTTTGGGGTGTGTGTGTGTTTCAAGACAGGGTTTCTTTGTGTAACAGCCCTGAGTGTCCTGGGACTCACAGAGATCCACCAGTGCTGGGATTAAAGGCATGTACCATGCCTGGCTTGCCTCCACGTCTCAGAGCTGGCGTTAGAGTGCTGGAATTACAAGCATGACCCACCACTCACATACGTGGTTCATGCAATAGTGGGGATTCATATTCCCTACCACCGGAGCCCCATCCGCATCTGCTTATCCTTTCCCAGTTATGTATCGGAGATAAAGTCTCTGTTTAGCCTTGGCTGGCCTGGTACACACCTTGAAGATCAGGATGGCCTTGAAGTCACTCAGGTCCACCTAACAGTGCCATGGATCAGAAGACCTGGCTTACCACCTTGAGCCACCACACCTAGGGGGATCATGAGTCTCTGATCTGATCCACCCATCTGTCCATGGTTACATGGCTTACCCACACATCTCTTGGCTATTGGGAACAATGCTAACCCTCAGGCACACAGGATCTGGGCTCAGACTATACTCTGAGTTGGGATCCCCGAGTCACAGAAATACTTTGAGCCTGCCCTCAGGCTACAGGACACTCCCAGTTCCTCATCCCATGCTACAGCTGCTGATGTGCCCAGGGTTTCTGCAGAACCTTGGGATCCCTCCACCTGCCCAGGAAAATAGCAGTCAAAGTCAAGGGGAAAACCTGCCTGCTCTTGGGAAGACACAGGCCTTGCAGGGTTTTGCTCAGGATTATGCACAGCCTCCTCTCCAAGGGACAGTAACAGAGGGTTGGTAAGCACTGCAACATAAGATTACAGCTCTTCACTCAGACAGTAACTGTCCTCAGCTTAACCTGGGGGAGATGCCTGGGACCCAGATGTAGCCCCAGATTGAGAACATTGGACTTCCAGACCCAGCCACGATCCCTATCTATCTGTCTGTCTGTCTGTCTGTCTGTCTGTCTGTCTGTCTGTATTTACCTATTTATTTATTTTTCTTGGTTTTCCAAGACAGTGTTTCTCTGTGGCTTTGGAGGCTGTCCTGTAACTAGCTCTTGCAGACCAGGCGGGTCTCTAAGTCACAGAGATCCACCTGCCTCTGTCTCCCGAGTGCTGGGATTCAAGGCATGGGCCAGCAACGCCCAGCTTCCCAGCCACCATCTTAAGCCGGCTTGCTTCAGTTCACCCCTTCCTTAGGGTGGGGCTAGGGTGGAGCCTGAGGACCAGGGAGGGTATCTAAGCCTTTCAAGCAGGAAGCAAGTTTTCCCCTATTTAAGAGGAGGCAGTCAGCCCTTCAGCTAGTATTCGGTCTTCCAGGCTCTCCTCCACCATCCTCAGAACCACTGCCATCCAGCCAGCGCCATGTGGGGAGCCTGTGTGTTGCTGCTGACCCTTGGACTGCAGCTGACAACTGGTGTCGTCCCAGGTAACGAGAGGCTCCTTGGGTTGCCTACTCCTTTGAAACACTGGGCCTTGAGTTCACTGTGACCGACCCCTCGCCTCTGCTCCTTTTCTTGACCAGTGGAGGAAGAGAACCCAGACTTCTGGAACCAAAAAGCAGCCAAGGTCCTGGCTGCTGCCAAGAAGCTGCAGCCGTCTCAGACATCAGCCAAGAACCTCATCATCTTCGTGGGGGATGGTGAGTGTGTGAGGCCTGGCCACCCTGGGGACCTGGCACCCCAAGGCCACTGGTGGGTTCAGGCAGACCTGGAGATTAACATCTGAGTTCTGTCCCCTCAGGGCTGGGGGTGTCCACAGTGACAGCCACCAGGATCCTCAAAGGACAGCTGCAAGGCCATCTGGGACCTGAGACACCTCTAGCCATGGACCGCTTCCCGTACGTGGCTCTGTCCAAGGTGAGCTTGGAGGCACCCAAGTCCCCACAAGGGATGGTAAGAGCTGGTACAGGAGGAGGGAGGTTGGGAAAAATACAGACCTGGGGCAGTGGGGACGGGTCCCAGAATGTCAAGGACCAATGTCTGCCACAGAGCTGAGCTGACTGAGCTGAGGTAGAGCGTCTCTCTCTCTCCAGACATACAGCACAGACACGCAGATCCCAGACAGTGCAAGCACAGCCACAGCCTTTCTCTGCGGGGTCAAAACGAATGTAAGGGTCATCGGCCTGAGTGCAGCTGCAGAATTTAACCAGTGCAACACAACATGGGGCAATGAGGTCCTCTCTGTGATGCATCGAGCTAAGGAAGCAGGTGAGTAGGGGCAAGGCTGAGGGCATGGGCGGGCCTGGGCCTGGGGTCCTGGGTGGCTCACCTGACAGCTTCTGCAGGAAAGTCTGTGGGAGTGGTGACCACCACGTCAGTGCAGCACGCCTCTCCAGCTGGCACCTACGCACACACGGTCAGCCGTAATTGGTACTCGGATGCAGAGATGTCTGCCTCGGCGCTGCAGGAGGGCTGCAAGGACATCTCTATACAGCTCATCTCCAACATGGACATTGATGTGAGCCCCAAGAGGGGGGAAGCAGGGCTGGAGCACGGTGTCTCTCACTGAAGACTCTACACCCCACAGTCTGAGTTCTCCATCCTGGCTGGGGGGGGTAACTGAGGGGTTGGTGGGGGATGGCTAGAGAAGAGGCAGCCAAGAGAGGCCCTTCCCTCAGACCTGTTGGGCAGGTGCTGTCGGGAAATCATAGAAGATCACTTACTTAGGTCCCAGCCTCACTTCTGATCACAGGTGATCCTTGGCGGTGGCCGCAAGTTCATGTTTCCCAAGGGGACCCCAGACCAGGAATATCCAGATAACCCCCACCAGGCTGGAACCAGGCTGGATGGACGAAACCTTGTTCAAGAGTGGCTGGCAAAGCACCAGGTATTGGGAGCACCAGGGCAGAGGGCATAGCAGGAATTAGTGAGGGCTGTGCTTCTGAAGACATGTACCTGGACTCAGGAGACTGGCTGTGTCCCTGCAGGGAGCCAAATACGTTTGGAATCACACGGAGCTTATTCAGGCATCCCTGGACCCATCTGTGACTCACCTCATGGGTAATAACTCCCGTTTCTTGACCAGGAACCCTTCCATCAGGGGACGGTGTGTGCGTGGGGAGAGGGGTCCCATAATACTCAGTCTGGTTCACCAAGATTTTCTTATCGGGGGAGGGGTCTCAAAGCAGGGTGGTTTCTCTGTGGCTTTAGAGGCTATTCTGGGGCTAGCTCTTGTAGACCAGGCTGCCTGCCTCTGCCTCCCGTAGCTGGGATTAAAGGTGTGCGCCACCACTGCCCAGCTGGTTCTCTTTCTTTCTGTTTTTTTTCTGTCTTTCTTTGGTTTTTCCAGACAGGGTTTCTCTGTATTGTTTTGAAGGCTGTCCTGGAACTTGCTCCAGGCTGTCCTGGAACTCACAGAGACCCACTTGCCTCTGCCTCCGGTGGCTGGGATTAAAGGCATGCGCCACCAACACCTAGCTCCAACTGAGTTTCTTATGCTTCAGGTCTCTTTGAGCCTGAGCACATGAAATATGACATCTACCGTGACCCTGCCCAGGACCCCTCCCTGGCGGAGATGACAGAGGTGGCTGTGCGCATGCTGAGCAGGAACCCCCTAGGCTTCTATCTCTTTGTGGAAGGTGAGTGCGTGGCTGTGACCCAGAGAAAGCAGGAGACAGCAGTGTAGTGCAGCAGACTCGAGCATCTCCCTCTCCACCCTGGCTTCCTGCAGGGGGCCGCATCGACCACGGTCATCACGAAAGCATAGCTTACCGTGCACTGACTGAGGCTGTCATGTTCGACTCAGCCATCGATAAGGCGGACCAGCTCACCAGCGAGCAGGACACAATGATCGTTGTCACCGCTGACCACTCCCACGTCTTCACTTTTGGCGGCTCAGTACCTCGAGGGACCTCCATCTTTGGTAGGTGCGGTGCGGTGGGGCAGGGCCAGACATTGTTTCTTGTAGGGATCTGGTGACCAGGCAAAAGGTGAAGGCATACAGAACCCAGTCTGAAAATAAGTCACTCCCTATCCCTGCAGGGCTGTCTTCCTATAAGGCTGGTGATGGCAAACCCTTTACCTCCATCCTATACGGCAACGGTCCTGGCTACAGGCTCCATAACGGTGTCCGGGCTGCTGTCACTGAGGAAGAGAGCAGTAAGTTCAGTGGAGTTGTCAACGTGGGGCGGGGCCTGAGTACAGATGGAGGAGGAGGCCACTGCTCTGAACACCCCTTCCTTGCAGGTGACCCCACATACCGGCAGCAGGCGGCTGTACCCTTGTCCTCCGAGACACATAGTGGCGAGGACGTGGCCATATTCGCACGTGGCCCTCAGGCAAACCTGGTGCACGGAGTGCAGGAGCAGAATTACATCGCCCACGTCATGGCCTTTGCAGCCTGCCTGGAACCCTACACCGACTGTGGCCTGGCGCCCCCTGCTGGCCCGAGAAGTGCAGCGAGTCCAGGCCAGACCTCCACCCTGATGTTCCTGTTGGCAGGGACAATGCTGATGCTGGTGGTGGCAGCTTAACCCTGACTACCCTAGGCTCACTGAACTCCACCCCAGTGGTACACAGCAGCTTCCATGCCTCTGAGCGCTTCTGTTTCCTGAGACCACCTGGACTTCTGGTTTCCTTCTCCACTAGCCACTTTCTCATTTCAGATCAATCTCTTTGTGTTGCCAAGCCCGCGCGGCCCTGCTTTAGGCCAGAGAGACCTCGGCCAGGGTTAAACCAGCCTCATGCCAGGCAGCACTTCGCTGCCTTGAAGACCGGGACAAGACAAACTCCAGTGCCTATTGAGCATGGCAGAACAATCAAGCAGCCAGCCGCTCAGCCAGGGCCTTGAGGGCCTAGAGTCTGACTCACCAGCACTGGGCAGTCCCCATTGCCAGGCTCAGCTGGCTTCTGCTGCACCTTGGATAATGGGCCCAGCAAAGCTTTGACACAGCCATCTACTGACCCTCAGTAGGCTCCCTACCTCTGCCTAGGCTCCCTTAAGAGGCCCAGCACATGGAAAGCCTTGGCCCCCCAGCCCCCATCTGGGCATCTGGGCAGTGTCAGCACTTGGCTTCCTCCTCAAACGGCTGGGCCTGCACCTGGCCCTCTGCCCCCCAGTGTTTGAGACGGGGTTTGTGCCTAGTCTCCATCTCAGGCCACCATCTTCTTACCTCAGCTTCCCAAATTCTGGGATTACACATGGCCCTGCTGTGTCTGGCTGTTTCCCACCCTCCGGGGCCTTCCATTCTCCTGGGGACAATAAAACCAGCTGTGACACAATGTCAGTAGTACTTGTTTGCCTGAATCTGCTGGGAGGGTGTTTGCCTGGGGATGGAGGTGGGCACACTAACAAGTGATTTGCTGACAGCAGAGGGCTGGCCCAGCATGAGCATGCCATAGATGAGCTTGTGTCAGGGATGGACTGGTCCCTCAGCTCGTTCCCACACGTGTGTAAGAAGTCCTGACACCACACTCGTATGCCATGTTCCTGAGGGAAAGAGCACCATGAGATGGCACTGGTGATGGGTCGGTGCCGCGGTGGCCAACAGGAAGGACAGCATGAAGGCCTTGCATTCAGGCCAGCCCTCCTTCAGGCTCTGCTGCCAGCTGCTCTGGGCTCAGGTGACGACACCAACAAGCACACGCATCTCTTTCAGTTATGCAGCAGAGACAGCAAGGGCCCTTGGGCTCCCAGCAGCCACACTGGCTCGAGTACTTGACCTCCTGGAACTCCCTGCAATCGCAGTCACGGAATGAAGTCTCTATTGCGCCAATGCCTTGGGTGTCTTGGATGGTTACACCTCAGGCCCTGGGCCCACTGCTGCAGGAAAAGCAGAGGGAGGTTCCAGAACACCTGAGCTTGATGCAGCAGTGGAGAGTCGGCTCAGAGGCTGACCAGGCACTGGAGACTTCCAAGGCTTGGCACAGACTCTCTGCTACTTGTGGAGGAGAGGAGAGATTCTCAGTAGCTACCTCCTCTCTCAGTCATAATCAAGCCATTAGACCCCTTTCCTCCTGCATCCTGTAAACACATGCAGGCTGAAGACTTGACAGTTCCCTGCTTGAAAGCAGGAAAGCACAGGGCATTGAGTCTGACACATAGTAGGTCTTCATTGACAACCGGGTTTATCTTGTCTTTGCTCTTCTTGTTCAATGTCTGTTCCAATTCAGGCAAGGTAGGACACAAACAGGGTTGCTGGAAGCTGGGAGGTGGTGGCACACACCTTTAATCCTGGCACTCGGAAGGCAGAGGCAGGCGGATCCCTCAGTTCAAGGGCAGCTTAATCTAAAGAGCAAGTTACAGGAGAGACAGGGTTACACAGAGAAACCCTGTCTGGAAAAACAAAACAGCGGCAGCTGGAGAATGGAGATGAAACGAGAAGCATTTTTGTCATTGCAACCTGTCCTCTCTCAGTTTCGATGGAGATCTCTCTCTTTTTTTGTTTGTTTTTCTTTGTTTTTTTTCTTCAGAGACAGGGTTTTCTCTGGAGCTTTGTAGACCAGGCTGGGCCCAAATTCAGAGATCTTCCTGCCTATGCCTCAGTGGTACTGGGATTAAATGCATGTGCCTCCACGGACCGGCCCTAGATCCTCTTTTTTTTGTTGGTGAATGTGAGACAAGGGCTCCTTTAACCCACACTGGGCCTGAAGTTGCTATGTAAGCATGGATAACCTTGAACTTTTGATCTTTTGTTTTGTTTTTTCAAGCCAGATAAGATTTTCTGTGTATCCTTGGCTGGCTTGGAACTTACTCTGTATACCAGGCTGGCTTCCAACTCACACTGGTTCCCCTGCCTCTTCCTCCTGAGTTCTGGGATTAAAGGTGTGTGCCACCTACCTCTGCAGACATTTTGTTTTACAAGATAGGGTTTCTCAGTGTACTCCTGGCTGTCCTGGAACTCACTCTATAGATCAGGGTGGCCTCAGAGTCACAGAGGTTCCCCTGCCTTTGCCTCCCTTGTAGCTGGGATTAATGGTGTGTGCCATTTTAGCCCAGCTAATTCTGATCTTCTTACCTCCACCACCCAAATGTTAATATTACAGGCATTGATTGCTGTGGTCAGTTTATGCTGTGAGCAGGGTGGCACTCAGAGCTTGGCATCCTAGACATGTACACTACCAACTGAGCTCAAATACCCACCTTGAGAGTCTCAAAAGAGACAAGGAAGAAGACTTTGTCCTCCTATAATCCTGACAGCTGTCATCACACCCCCAGGTGGGAGCTTCCTTCATGGGGGAAGTCCTTCTATGTTTATGTTGTCTCATTCATTGATAAATAAATCATTGTTGGCCAATATGGAAGCAAGATATGTGGGACTAGGAGTCGAGAGGGATTCTGGGAAATGTAGTCAAGAGTAGGAGATAAGAAACCATAGCAAATAGTCAACAGCTTCATAATTAATATAGTGTCTTGTTTGTTATTTCGGGGCTGAGACAGTGGCAGGACCCAGGCAGCTGGCTGAGAAGAAGATATGGTACTCTGCGTGGATGAACATTTCCCTTCTGGTGGATAATCTCATGCCCCTCAATATCTCCTCAGACTGAGTTCCCTTGTGCCTTGGCTATAGCTGCAGAGGCTCAACAGTTCACTGAGACTCCTTTCTGGGCAACAGGGGTGTCTCTTGCTTTGGAAATCTCCTTTCTGTCCCCATCACAAGTCTCTGACCAGGTCTCCAAGTCATGGGGATGCCTTTTCCTTCGTGGAGATGTAATGAGCAGAGCAGGACTCTGCCTCTCAGGCCTCCATCAGGACGAGTCGCTGTGACACACTTTCTTTTATGTTAATTAGTTATTCTCAGTGTACATGTGCACTTGGGTCCTGGCGTCCTGAGTGTGGAGGTCAGAGGGCAACTCTCAGGGGTTGGCTCTCCTCTTCCACCCTGTGGGTTCTAGGAATGGAACTCAGGACTTCAGGTTCAGGGACTGGTGCTTTACCTGCTGAGCCATCTTGCTGGCTCTGTGACACACTATAGGTTAAGGAACATACATTATTTAGACGTAATGTTATATAAGTACCCAAACTGTAAGCATAACTTTTATATGCACTGGGAAACAACAACAAATCCACATGAGTTGCTTTAGGTATTGCTTACTTCTGGGGTTATGCTATATGACTTTATGTAATTTTACACAAGTTAGGGTCATCTGAGAGTAGGGAGCCTCAGTAGAGAAAATGCTTCCATAACCTTTGCCCCAGGTAAACCTGTGGAGCATTTGTTCCTGGATTCTATAAGAAAGCAGTTCAAGCAAGCCATAGGGAGCAAGCCAGTAAGCAGCTCTCCTCCATGGCCTCTGCACCAGCTCCTGCTCCAGGTTCCTGTTCTGCTTGAGTTCCTGCCCTGACTTCCTTTAATGATGAACTGTGATGTGGAAGCATAAGCTCAATAAATCCTTTCTTCCCCCGGTTACTTTTTTTTGCCATGGTTCACAGCAATAGTAACCCTAACTAAGACAGTCATGGTCTGAAACAAACACACTATCATTCATAATTCCTGCATGGTTTGCTACTTATGGAAATACTACTTTTTTGCAAGACAGGGTTTCTCTGTGTAGCCCTGGCTATCATGGAACTCACTCTATAGACCAGACTGGCCTCAAACTCACAGAGATAGCCTGCCTCCAGCTTCCAAGTGCTGGGATAAAGGCGTGCACCACCACCGCTCAGCTGGCAATACTGTTTTTTTTTAAATCAGTCCTATTGATAAATGCTGAGACTGTTTCCACTGTTTGGCTATTTAAAGAAGGTTGCTTTGACCAGGCTGGTACATAGAGCCTGGGTTACAAATGTCACAATTTTCCTATCATAGCACAGCTACATCCCAGCAGGTTCATGCCTGGATCTTCTTGGATGATGCTCCCTGCACCTTCCTGGAATGATGCTCCTGTCTCTAATGTGTGGAACTCACTGAATTTCTCAGGTGCTCTCTACAGGGGACATAAGTCTTTGCAATATGAGGGTGTTTTCCACATGTCCACTGGTCTCCTTTAAGTTTATTGTTTGAAGACCCCAAAAGGATGTAGGGATCTTAAGGAAAAAGCAGATAAGAGTGTCATGGACAAGCAGTAGAATCAAAGGCATCTAGGAAGAAGGGACAGAGGCAATAGAGACTGCAATGAATTTGAACACAGTCAGTCAGGCTACATGGTTGCAGGCCATGGTAGAGTTGGCAGGATCGGCAACCTGGATTAGATCTGAGATTAGAAACCTGAAGTCAAGGTTCGGGGAACTGGAGTGACATGAGGAGTCTGGAGGGGAGCAATAGTGTGGGACACTGGAGCCTACTGTGGGACACTGGTATAAAGTCCAATGAGCTTAGGTAGTTCAGCTGCCACCACCAGCATCAGCATTGTCCCTGCCAACGGGAACATCAGGGTGGAGGTCTGGCCTGGACTTGCTGCACTGCTCTGGCCAGCAGGGGGTGCCAGGCCACAGTCGGTGTAGGGTTCCAGGCAGGCTGCAAAGGCTAGGCATGGGCGACATAGTTCTGCTCCTGCACTCCGTGCAGCAGGTGTGCCTGAGGGCCACGTGTGAATAAGGCCACGTCCTCGCCATTATGGGTCTCAGAGAACAAGGGTACAAAATATTCAGAGCAGAAGCCTTTTGACCCCAGTCTCCTCTTCCCTGGGCTGTCTTCATCAGGGACATCTAGCCAGAAACCATTCTGGAGTTTATTTATAGCAATGACCGTTGCCCTTCCCTAGTGCTTGCTATGGCCCTGCCTTGGTACCCGTCACCTGGTGCTTCACCAATCACTTCTGTACCAGATTCCGTAGACCAAGTCTACTTCTGGACTAAGCTCTGTTGTCTGGGTACTCAGGGCCTGGTGTCTCCTTGGGAAACATGAACTTGTGGCCCCCACCGATGATCACCTATGATCAGAAGGTCAGGAAGAGAGGAATTGGGATCCCTTTGCCACCTCCTGACAGACCCCACGAGGTTTGTGGGAAGGGCTTCTGGGGTGCGTTTCTACACCTTTCCCCCACCTATTCCTCAGATGTCTTTTGGATCCTGAGCTGCAGTGAGTGACCTCAATCTAGCTCTCCTCCCCCACTCTTGGAGCTCACGTCAATGTCTGTGCTGGAGATGAGCTGAGTGGCGATGTCCCTGCAGCCATCGAGCACCGCAGAGGCAGACATCTCTGCATCCGAGTACCAATCTCAGTTCACCGCGTGTGCGTAGGTGCCAGCTGGAGAGGAGTGCTGTACCGACGTGGAGGTCACCACTCCCACAGACTTTCCTGGAAATGACAGGAATCAGGTGGGCCACCTAGTGAGTCAAG